TTTGTTTAATGATGCAAAGATGCATTTGATTAAATAAAATTCACCTGCGGTCAGGAGGCTGCGTCAGCTGACAGGAAATGGTAGGGAGGAGCCAGGTGAGAAAGGGTTTATAAGGAGAGGCGAGGAGAAGCAGGAGGGCTTTTTGAGGACTCGAGCAAGGAGAGGAGGTGAGCTACTTGCTATTCAGAGGTAAAGGGGTCTGGGGCAGAGTTTCAGAACCTGAGAACACTGTGGATTAGGCAACTGCTTGGGTCAGGCTACATTCCCTTCAAGCTCCTGGGAAAAGCAGGATTGGAGGGGACGCTCTTCAAGGGTTGTCACTTGGGCTTTGGAGATGGAAGGGCTGAGAGTTAGAGACCCGGTGATTGGCTTTGGCCCTTCCCTGACGTGTAGGCTGGTGTACTTTACCTTAATTCTACCTGAGTGGTCACTGCTGGCTTCTGAAAAGAGGCTTTAACGGTCTTCAACCAGGGTAATACCTTGAAAACATTCATCTCCTGTGTGTGGTACCTTGTAGGGTCCCTCAAGATTGCCTTTGATAGCCCATCTATCCTGTATGTCACAGGTCATGGCATAGCTCTCTTTGGTGTCTTATTTAGCTTATTTCTGTTATTTGTTTCTTTTCTTTCTTTTTTTTTTTTTTTTTTTTTTTTTTTTTTTACGATTTATTTACTTATTATGTATACAGCATGTGTGACTGCAGGCCAGAAGAGGGCACCAGATCTCATTACAGATGGTTGTGAGCCACCTTGTGGTTGCTGGGAATTGAACTCAGGACCTCTGGAAGAGCAGTCAGTGCTCTTAACCTCTGAGCCATCTCTCCAGCCCCTTCTTTCTTTCTTTTTATGAGACAGGATCTTCTGTAGCTTGGGCTCACTTCCATATTGATAAATAGCCAAAGATGAATTTGAACTCTGGATCTTCCTGCCCCTACCTCAGAAGTTCTGGCATCATTGGTGTGCACCATTACAGCCACCTTGATTGTTATTTCTTAAAATATGTTATTTCCAGTTTGTTTCTGGAGTATGGAATGGAGGATGCCACAAGGATTTTTTTTCCAGATAAAGAAATGCATTTCTCAGGTTATCATAAGGGAAAATTATTTTTATGAGAATATGTTCTGAATTTCAAAAGTATGTATCAGTTTCTATTGTTGCAACATAGTGCTGTGTGTGTGTGTGTGTGTGTGTGTGTGTGTGTGTGTGTGTGTGTGTGTGTGTTGGAGACAGAGCTTCCACAACTGGCCCAGACTGACTTTTAACTCAAGGTCCTCCTGACACAGTCTCCCCAAAGCTAGGATTACAACAGGTATGTATCATCACACTTAATGTTGTGGCGTAACATACCCTGGAAGGCAAGATGTCTAAAACTCAATTATACTTGCAAATGATAAACAGTCAGCATGGTTTTATTTATCTGACCACCAAAAGATGTGTTTTATATGTGGCACAATCTACAGAGGGGAGATTAGTTTTTTAAAATGGTGAAACCATCCCAAACCAGCATTTGGATAATGGGAAGTCTTGGTTGTCTGTTCTACCACTGGTTGTGTGTTCCACCCCATTCTGCCCTTACAAAAGCTTTTAAATGTGATTCAGAACATCTTTAATTTCTGAATAAAGGTGACCAGGAACTACCCCTTACTATTGTGGTGTTTCTTTTTCTATTTCCCCTCAATGGTACCTCATGGTTACCCTTTCCTATCCCTATACTTACAGGTCTAGCTTGCCGTTACTAAGCTTATCCAGAGTTACTTGAATGACATACCAAACAGGGAATAAAAAGGAAAACCATGATGGTTGTCTTCAGAGGCCCTGTCCTCATTTCAGGGATGTGCACATGCAAAGGACACACAGAGGTTGCTGCAGGGTCCCCAGTTCTGAACCCTGAGTCTCTTTCTTCAGTTCTCTCATAATTCCTTGTGATTTTTACTTTTCATTTCCTGGAATCTGATAGGAGAAAAATGGGATTGCCTTGTAGAGTGTTTGACTTGTGCCGTTTCCTTTATGGCAGAGTTACTGATATCGTCACCTCGCAGTCTTTGTCCTCGCAGATCAGTGACAGTGGGTGAGTTGACTTGACTGATCTGAGTTATAACACATATTGGGAACATATAGCACTAATTGGTTTATTGATTTTCTTAGAGATTGAAACACGTGTATGTAACTTTCTTTCTTTTAGGGGTGAAGTAGAGAAACAATTAAGTTGATCACCAGGCAGGAGGGGATGTGTCATAACCTGTTTATAACTCTTAATATCTAGCAGTCAGAATTCTTAGGATGCCATCAGGAACCCTGTGTATGACCCTTTCTCAGGTTAGTCTAGAAAGAGGAGGGAGTTCTGCTTGGGACATGGAGGAGATAAAAGTGGAAGGTAGCAGAGCCCCCAGCAGAAAATGGAAGGGGCATAATGGGGTTTGAAAGTGTGCCTCACCTTCCAGAGCTCTGCCACTAGGGTGAGTAGTAGGTACTCCCAAACCAAAACATCCAATTGGATTGAACAGGCTCAGGCCTGTAGCTACTGTACCTTCCATGAGGGGCAGGGAAGGCAGACATGTTGGGTAAAAGTAAGGAGGGATGGAAGGACTGAAGAGCGAGACATTAGATGGGACTGGAGAGATGCTAACAAGGTAAAGGGCTGTTTCCTATTGTGTCTGGTTCAGTAGGAAATAATTGTTCTTAATCTTGAGTCACTATATTCTACAGGACTCTAATAATGTTACTATCATATAAAGTGTCATTTATAGGAAATAGGACATTAAATTCCAAATAACTGATTTGTATGTGAGGATATTAGGAATCAATCAATTTATAAGCAAGAGGTTAATTATAACTAATTTGAACTTTTATGAAAACATGAATCTAGGAAGCAATTCTGTGTCTTACTGTATGTCTTTTAATCACTTAGCACTGTCTCAACCGGATGCAAACAGTGCTCTCAGGTGCAATGACTAATGAAATGTAAGATGTAAATGATTAACTATGTACGTGTGTTGTATATATACATCTATATGCACATACACTCATGCATACTCACACAAATTGAGACATGGGCTGTTCACTGCAGGGACATCTAACTGAGCACAGAATTTTCTCAGTGCTGTGCCTAACATCCTCTCATGAGAAGCTTCTGTATGGAACACTTAGGGAAGAAGCCACAGACAGAGTCATCTTTCTCCTACGGCTTCTTCTAACATCTTACTGTGTTTGAGACTCTAATAGAGTTGGCCAGTGGAGGAGGGAAATCCATGTGGAGCCAGAAGGAACTCACAGTAGGTCTGGAACGGAAGAGAACATGAACACTAGTCCTGCAAGTGATCCTCACCTGCCAGGTTGCTGCCATCCGGCAAGGCCGGTGCTCTAGAGCCAGGGCCATCATCAGACTGAACGGAGTCCCTGTGTGAGGGCAGGACATCTGTGCTTCTTAAGATGCAGAGTAGGATGGGAAAAGGGACTTGAAACTAAAGACCAGGAGCCATGGAGACTGAAGCGAAACTTAGTGCAAACTTAAGCTCAAATATTACATATGATACTAGGTTCAGGAAGAGAGAAGGGGCTTTATTGACTTATTTGTTCAAGTATTTACTTACTTCTTTTTTTCTTTTTTTTTTAAAATCAACAAAATGACAAGTGTTTATTGGAAAAATCCAGGACTCACAGGCAGTATGATATGAAACTAAAATATGCTATGTTCCATGAGGTAGTAAGAAATGCACTAATATAAAATTAGAAACTTCAAGTAAATATATCTATAATACAGGGTACAGAGATAGAAGATACTAGTCTGGCCTAGAGAATTGATTGGTTAAGAACTATTTAATTGTATTTATGAAGTCTTTAAAAAAAACTTTTTTTTTTTATTTCTTTGTGGATTTCACATCATGCACCCTGACCCCACTCATCTTCCCTGTCCCCTTGCTCCAGCCCTCTTCCCTTGCAAACTTCAAGAAGAAAATTTAAAAGTTGAAAAAAAAATCTCAGCATGGAAGCTGCAGTGTGGCCCAGTGAATCACACAGTCTACCCTTTAGTCCATCTTTACTTGTAAGTGTTCATTGCCATGAGGCATTGTTCTGGTCTGAGGCCTCTGGTTTCTGCTACACCATTGATACTGGGCCCTCACTGGGACTCCTCTTGGATATCCTGTTGTTGTCCTGTGTCATGGAGATCCTGTAGCTTTGGATCTATAGGTCCGGCCCCTGCACATTCTTCAGCAGTTCATAGATGAGGTGGGTGTTGGGGTAGGCTACCTCATAGTCCTGGTTCTGGGCCTGGGTGGTAGCTGGGTTGGTCAGCCTGCCAGCTTTCCCTCATCTGGACAAGCTCTCCAGCATTGCCCAGGCTAGCTCACCCACTGCAGCAGGCAGCAAGGAGCAGGGCCAGTTCTGCTCTCACACCTCGGTTCACGGACACCCACACCACCAGGGCCAGCTCTGTTTTGTCCAGGTGAGGTACAGTGCTCACTCTCTGGATTGCTATACTTGGTGAGGGGAAGCGCCAGCTCTTCTGTTCTCATGCCCTGGCCCCAGGTTGGACCTCCTGCCCATTGTAGGTGGCAAGGGGGGCATATTTCCCTTATCCTTGCCACCCTGTGGCATACGAGGGTGGGGGTAGGGGAAGAGCTCCTGCTTTCGCACCCACAGGCTTGACTCACCCATGCCCCCACCAACAGGATCAGCTCTGGTGTGCAGCCCAAGTGGGGTAACTGAGGGGCAAGTCCAGTTCCACCTAGTGTTGCTGCCAGTGAGGGGCAGGGCCAACTCTATGTAGCCATACCCTCCCTGTTTGTGTTTTTGGTGTTAACAGAGGCCTCGGCCAGCAGCACAGACACCATGGCCCCTGTCGGCAATGCAGCCTACTCAGAACTGCATAGTCCCAGTAGAGGCTCAACCCTTAGACACTAATCTGCCCCTAGGCGGCAGCTCAGACCCCTGACATCCTTGTGGCCCTTAGTGGCCCTACAGGCCATGGACATCAATACAGACCCCAGCTGTGGTTGAACCATGGACCGGGACATGGTCCTTGGCGGCAGCCTAAGCTCGGATGCCACCATGGCCCCAGCTGGTAGTGCAGGTCACTTGATTGGCATGGACCCAAAGGCAGCGTAGCCTTTGAACTCCCACATGGCCCCAGGCATGGGCCCAGATCCCAGGCATCTGCACTGCCTTTGATGGCAACAGAAGCCTCAGATATCAGTGCAGGTCCTGGACTGTGGCGGGGCTACAGACCCAGACATGACCCTAGCTACAGCTCAGGCCTGTATGATTGCCTTGGCCTCAGGTGGCAGTGCATGTCACTCAGGTCTGTATGGGCCCAGCAGCAGCACAGCCCTCGAGCACCAAGAAGGCCACAGGTGAAGGCCCAGATCCTGGGCATCAGCGTGGCCTTTGGTGGCAACATGGGCCACGGACATCAGCACAGACTCAGGCTGAGGTAGGACCACAGATTCAGACATGATCCTTGGCAACAGCCCACATCCAGGTGTCATCATGGCCCTGGTTGGCATTGCAGATCACCTAGATTGGCATGGTCCCAGTCAGTGGCCCCAAAATGCCAACATGTCCGCAAGTGACAGCCCAGATCTTGTGGATCCACTCAGCCTTCGATGGGAACAGGATCCATGAACACTGACACAGATCCTGGCTGTGGTAGGGCCACAGACCGAGATGTGGCCCACAGCCACAATTTGGGACCAAATGACACCATGGCCTTGAGTGGCAGCATGGGCCACCCAGGTCTGTATGGCCCTGGCAGTATCTTGAGCCTCTAAGACTAGCATGGCTTCAGGTGTTAGTCTGGACTGCTGGCCTCTATACAGCCCTCGATGGCAACAGGAGCCACAGGGCCACAGACCCAGACATGGCCCCTGGCAGCAATCTGGGCCGGATGTCACTATGGTCCTGGGTGGCAGTGCAGGACTCCTCGCTCTCCATGGCCCCTGTGGCAGTACATCCCTTGGGTATCAGCTTGGTCACAGGTAGTGGCCCAGACTCTGGGTGTCTGCAGGGTCCTTGGTGGTAACAGGAGCTGTGGACATCAACACAGATCCCCACAGCAGCATCAGGGCCACTGACCAAGTCATGGTCCTTCACTATGGCCCTGGGTGGCAGGCAAGGGATTTACCTTACTGCCCTCACCTCTTCAGATCTGCCTCTCTCCCCTGCACATGAACCATTCTGCCTCTCTCTCTCTCTCTCTCTCTCTCTCTCTCTCTCTCTCTCTCTCTCTCTCTCTCTCTCTCTCTCTCTCTCTCCCCCATTTCCCCACCCTGTACTCATGCACCATAATGGTGTCTGACCGGTTCATGAGCGAATTCTTCTCACTTCAGGTCTAGAAACCTGGGGCGGAACTGTGTTTGTCCTCTGGAGACCTCTTATTTGGTTTTCAATGCTGAGACTCAAACTCAGGGCCTTGTGCATGCTGAGTAAGTACTTGATCACTGAGCCGCTAGCCAGGACTTCCATTCCAACCCCTTATCAATGCCTAATATTCATTTGGTCTTTTTTTTTTTTTTTTGGTTTTTCGAGACAGGGTTTCTCTGTGTAGCTTTGCGCCTTTCCTGGAACTCACTTGGTAGCCCAGGCTGGCCTCGAACTCACAGAGATCCACCTGGCTCTGCCTCCCGAGTGCTGGGATTAAAGGCGTGCGCCACCACCGCCCGGCTCATTTGGTCTTTTTAATGGTGTCCCAGAGATCTGGCATTTTCTGTTCCTGCCTTTTGAGATGCTTTTTATTTTTTTAATGTTTAAATGTTCTAATTTGTCAATATTGTCTTCAAGTTGTGTTTTTCTTCTATCCTTGTGAGATTATACACTGAGCTATTAATATTTCACTTATTGGATTTTTCATTTAGAAGATTTCTAGTTTTCCCCCAAAAGATTTCTAGTTTTCATCTCTTTACTGAATGACTCTTTTATATCCTCATTGTCTTCTCTAATTCAATCAGCTGTTTATTTATATTGTTTTTGAAATTATTGCTAATTTCAACAATCATTCTTTTGAATCATTTATCTGGCATCTAATCTCATTTTATATCTTTGGAGCTCATTTCTAGAGTTCTTTTAACTTTTGGAGACGCCATGTTGCCTGCTTTTAAAATTCCTTGTGTTTCTATGTTGAAGTTTGTGCATTTGTGAGATCTTTCTTAGGAAGCAGCCTTCCCTTGGAATGCCCAGAGAAATCAATTTGTTTTTAGTGTTGAGTTTACTTCCAAATGAATTCTATAAAGAAAGAAGTTTCTTTATAGCTTCTTGGGCAATGATTCATGGTTTTGGTACAGTATAGTTGGGCTGGGGCCTATATGACCCATTTCCTCTGTAGGTTGTAGCAAGAGTGGGGACTCTCTGGAAGTTGAGGCAGGTGTTTGTAGACAGATGTGCATGTAGGGTGTGCATTCTGTGCTTACTTCTCTGGACTTTTGAAAATATGTGGTCTGAAGGGTTATGGGGGCTACCTGTGCTGGGGGCACTTGTTGACATGGTGGAAGTAGAAGCTGTATAGACGACTCTGCTGTTGCAATGGAGGTGAAACGGACCATGACTTTTCAGGTCTTCCCTGTTTGTGTCTATCTGGGGGAAGAGCTGATGACTGGCTGTTTTTATCTGCCTTATTCTTTAAGGTTTGAAGTATTTTCCAAGTTCAGTCAGTGCTATATCATAGCTGGATTGAAGTATGGTTTCTCAAAACAGGGATGGGTGTACATCTTAGTCACAAATGTTCAGGGCATGGGATCTGTCCCCAGCACCTCTCAGAAAGAAGAAAACAAGTAGCAGAAACAACCATAACATATGAACAAACTAGATATGAAAATACAGTCATAAACAAAAATAACTAGTACCATTACATCAATACCAGTAGAAAAGAGTTAAAAAATTATATAGGCCGGGCGGTGGTGGCACACGCCTTTAATCCCAGCACTTGGGAGGCAGAGCCAGGCGGATCTCTGTGAGTTCGAGGCCAGCCTGGGCTACCAAGTGAGTTCCAGGAAAGGCGCAAAGCTACACAGAGAAACCCTGTCTCGAAAAACCAAAAAAAAAAAAAAAAAAAAAAAAATTATATAGAAGAAGTAAAAAGTAACTAGTACATAAAGAACCCCAAAGAAAGAACACAATAGGACCAGCGTGATGGGTCAGTGGTTAAAGGTGCTTTTGCCCCAGCCTGATGATGCCTTGAGCTTGTTTCCAGTGATCCACAGAATGGAAGGAGAGGGTCAATTTTCATAAGTTTTCCTCTCACCCCTGCATGCCTGCGTGCCTTGGCATGAGCGTGCACCCACACACACACATAGCACACAGATGAATGAGCAAGATAAAATTTGTAAAGGGAACTAACGAGGAGCATCTAAGGCTGATGGCTTTGCCCACTCGTTTTGAGAGGCATTTCCCCAACCTGTTTCAGAAGGTGGAGTGTTTCGATCTGCGGATCAAATGAAGCAGAGCATGGGGTTTTCTTTCTAACTCGTGGCAATCTCAACACTTGGCTGTTACTTCTCGAAACCAACAATTCCATTGTTTCTGAGCTTTGGGACAGAGAATGCTGCATGCAGTTTTAGCTTTCATTTGGCTAGGAATCTATAACTATTTAAGGTTTCCTAGGAGTTGTATTAACTTAAGAATATCTGTATATTGCAAAAATTTAAATATATCACTTTGTACAGTTGCTACATAGCAATTTTTAATTTTTTAATCATGTGTTTATTTGATAGTATTATTCTCTGAGACTTTCATATGTTGTATTTTGTTTACTATTTATTTTTTTGGTCCTCAAGGGTTTCATGCAGAGGGTCCCCAGCTCTTTCCCACGGGACCTTTCAGCTTTCCCTTCCAGCCCATATCCATTTCTTTGTGTTAGCCTCTGACCTGCAGAAGCACATTCCACCAAGGACTCCCAGTGGCCACACTGGGCAGAGATGAAGGGAGACGCTCTCCTCATCGTCCTCTCTCTCCTCCATTATGGTCTCTCCAGGTGACTCTTAGTCCTACAGTAGCCTGCTGACGAAATGGTGGAAAACATGTGGAGGACATTTAATCCTTATTGCTGACCCTTTAGTGCTACGTCCTACTTCCAGCAAAAATGTGTGTCTTGGCCATAGCAGCTTCTTTTTGCAGTAAGCTGTGGTCAGTGAAGAGACATAACTGGTCAAAGTGCTGATATTAAGTCACTATGAGTGCGCGCACACACACACACACACACACACACACACACACACACACACACACACACACACACTGTGCGTGCACATACACCCCCGAGAACAGCTCACATTTCCACTCTGCTAACCTGAGGCCATGACCTAAGCTTCTGCCATCTGCAGCACAATTTGTTGCATGTAACTTCATTGTGTGCCCTATAGGGAAAATCATGAATTCTTTGATATTGTCTAACTTTATTCTTTGCATATTTTTTTCTTGGTTCACAGAAATAAAAAGGAGTCATTTAGAGATTCACAGTCCTCTAACCTAAATGACAACATTTGGTGAGTTGACTTTTTCTTTCAATCTGGATGGAAAAACCTTTTTAACGTACTCATTACAACACACAGCATACACGACAACCTTTCAGCATCTGTGTGCGGCATTTTTGATTGGGGACTAGATACAAAATGATGGGCCTGATCAAAAGATACTTAATTATAGTCTGCTAAGAACTTCAGAGTCTAGCAAGCCAAATGCTTAGTTCAACTGTTTCAATGACTGTGTGTTGTTCACGGTGATCCAGGGAGATAAGGATCTTATTCAGAGGTGGGAGGGGTGGACAGCAGAGGAACTCTGAATAAACAAGAGTGCTCCAGAGCTTGGCGTCCTCGGAAGCCTAGTCTCCCAACCCAGACCCACTAGCAGCACCTCCAGCTTCCAGCCCTGCTGTTCCTTGACATCAAATGACTGGTGGGAAACACAGCCTTCCTAGGTAAACCTGAGGAGGAAATGACAGGACTTAGGAACAGAAACGAGATGGGCTAAGGGGGGTGACATCAGCCCATTGTATTACTTTTTACTGAGAAATTTTTCTTAACAGCAAACAATTGCACTGTTACATAACAGATCATTTATGGGTGGACTATTAATAGCAAATAAAAGTTTTTTCCTATAAAAAAGAGAAAATTGGTTCATATCTTACATTTTTAAAATCCATTTTCCTCTGGGCGTTCTGTGACTTAATCTCCTATATCTAAATGTATCTTATACGTCATTCCTGAAAATATAATAAGCATAGATTGCTGAACAAAAACAGAAACAAAGAAGGGTGACTTCCTATAGAAATCAATTTGAGTTTAAAATAAATTCTGTCACAAAAGACTATTTCAATATCCCATTAGGTTTTGAACTAAAGTTCTTAAATCTTGACATATTAAAGTTTCTTTTGTAAGCCCATGTCTTTCATTCACACAAACCTTCACGTCTAGGGACAAAGGACAATACTTCTGTTCGAATCCCCTTTTACTTTTAATTAACACACGGAGTTCAGTTAGCGCTGTCTATGGCACCTGTGTGTGGCACCATTCACTGGGACATAAGTGCTTTCCCCTGGACTCATACCCAAGGAAATATGACTCTTCCTGCCCAAATAGCCGTCATGTTGCCAATAGCTCTTCAGCCAGGATTGGGACCTCTTGAACCCCTCCTCAGTCCATGCCATAGTGTTGACCGGCTTGATCTTGTACAGGTCTTGTTCAGGTAGCCACAGTCCATGAGTGCAACGACCATGTCGTGTCTGAAAAGACAGCAGTCACAGCGTGTCCCCCCCCCCGCCCCCTTCCAGCTCTTACATTCTTTCTGCCCCTTCTTTCATGATGCTTTCTGAACCTGGGGTTCCCATGCCGGGACCAAGCATTCATAGTGACATAATATCAGCAGAACTGTGACCAGTTATTTTTCCTCCTTAACCGCAGCTTGAAGCTTCTCTGACCAAGGGTGAGACTAGTGCAAATCTGTTGGATCCAAGCATAAATATTTAGAAGATAGTTTGACAGCATGATCATTTAGCAAAAGAACAATAGTAGGTCCCCGTCTAGGGCTGACGGCCTCCGCAGTCATGAATTCTCTCCTGTTGAGCTGGCCTCAAATCCAAGCAGAAAGCCATTGGTCACCCCCAGAGCATTTATGCCCCCATTGCCACCATGGGTACATCTCGCCAGTCAGTATTGTAATATGCGGTATCCAGCACTGAGCAAAACCACTGATGTATGACTGTGGAAACTAGCTCTCGGGGAGGAAATTTCCCAGTCCTCAGCACTAGAATCTTACTGTTTAGATCTTCTGGGCAACCCAAAGCAAAGGCAGGACCTGCGCTGCTTTGGGTGTTTCTGAGGCCTCCTGAAGCATTCCATCCATACCCTTGAGATGTTTGTTTCATAACCCATGTGTTCTGGAAGCAGTATTGTCCACCCATGCAGAGTACCTCCATTTTTTTTTTTTAAAGTTAGCTTACAGGGTAATGAATTTCCATTGATGCTGTGGGATGGTCTGTATGTCAAATGTGTTGCTGATTGGTCAATGAATAAATCACTGATTGGCAGTGGCCAGGCAGGAAGTATAGGCGGGACTAACAGAGGAAAATTGAGAGAACAGGAAGCTAGAGGAGGAGACACTGCCAGCCGCCATCAGGATAAGGAAGATGTAAAGTACCGGTAAGCCACAAGCCACGTGGCAAGGTATAGATTAATAGAAATGGATTAATTTAAGCTGTAAGAACAGTTAGCAAGAAGCCTGCCACGGCCATACAGTTTGAAACCAATATAAGTCTCTGTGTTTATTTGATCAGGTTTAAGCGACTTGGGACTGGCGGGTGAGAGAGATTTGTCCTGACTGTGGGCCAGGCAGGAAAACTCAAGCTACACATTGAGTTTTCATAGAGCCTTAGTGTTTGTTAGTGAACCCGTCCCCCCCCCACTCCATTTCTCCCCTATCAGGTTAATTTTTTTGGGGGGGGGGGTTCAACCAATTTATAAGTTGTAGGCAGAGTTAGTGAAAAGTAAGCCTGTGATTTAAATGGTATTTGATTGTGTACAATTTTAATTCTTTAGCTGTGACACAAATGAAGAGTCTCTACCATCCAATGATGAAAGCAGTGGAAGGTCAGTTACATACATGTATGTGTGTGTGTGTATATATATATAAATAAAGATACCCAGGTATTAAGCATAGAGTGTTTTGGATACCAGGTATTAAGCATAGAGTGTTTTGGATACCCAGGTATTAAGCATAGAGTGTTTTGGATAGTATTTCTAAAGTATTTGAATGCCAGCATCTGTTTATCACCTTCTTTCTTGTTTTGAATCTAGTTGAATAAATGAGAAACACATCAGGAGAAACTTTAGCGCCTAGTGACCCAAACTCACAGAAAACTGTCGAATTGCCTGTGTGTGAGACAAGACCTGAAGTGTTGAGTTAATTTGCTGTGGCTTCAGTAATAAAGCATTCCAAACTAGATAGCTTAAGCAATAGCAATTTTCCCCACACCCCACAGAGGTAGAAGTCTGATACCTAATGCCTTCAAGGCTAGCTCTTTTTGAGGGCTCTGAAGAAGATTAAGTTTGACACCTCTTTTGTCCCACTACTGGTTGTAGGAAATCTTTGGCATTCCTTGGCATGTGAATCCATCCTCTATGCCTCTGCCTCAATTTGTACTTAGCATTCTTTCCATGTGCATCTTATACCAATGTGTTCATCTCTATAAGGATACCACTCGTATTGAATTAAGACTGAATTTATTAGTGTGATCTCATCTTGTAACTGTTTATGCTTGCAATGCCTGTCTCTAAATAATAACAGTGATTAGGACATCAACAATTTAATTTTGGGGATAACATTCAAAAGGAGGAAAAATCTTGCTTCAGATCAAGGCAGTGGTAATGAATGATCAAACATGGGGCTCTGGAGCTCCAACAGAAGATGGAACACATGGATACTAAAATTGTCCCCAATCCTCAAAAGCTCTGCAACTGTGCTGGACTGATGCCTCCCACACAAACTCGCCATCATTTTAGAGTGAGCTACTAAACCCTGTCTGATGGGCAGAAAAGACACACGTAAACTATGAAAATGAGCAGGTGAGGAAGAGAATTCAGAGTCAGGAATCAGGTGAGGTCATGGTGATGTGTACCTACAAACTGAAGTTGAGTTTGAAATAATGTCACCACAAAAGACTCTTACATGTTGGTGCTGAGGTAATAGTTAAATCTGTGGATATTATTATTTCCATTGGCCTAAGATAATCACTTTTGTCACTGTTTTTTGTTTTTGAAGCAGTCTTACTCTGTAGCCACAGCTAACCTGCTCTCACTATGTAGGCTGGCCTTGGACTTGGCCTTGGCCTTGGACTCTTGCCTCAACTTCCTTATTGCTGAAATTATAGGCTTGAGTTATCATACCTGGTAAGATAGTTATTAACTTATTAAGCCCAATCCCTAATCAAAATGCCATACCAAGTTCAAATAATGATCTTCATATGGATATTCAAAGTTCAACCAGCTAATGTTTAGAGTAACTATAGTCATTTTAACCTTAAAAAGTCAGGAAAATTGTTTTGTTGTGACATTGTACTTTTATAATCCCTTAGTTTATATCCAGATGACTTAACATCAGTGAATTATCCAGAGTCCTTCAGTGAAATATGAATTAAAAAAAACAAAAAAAATACATATATGCATAAATATGTGAGTATGTGTGTGCATATACACATTTATATAAAGACATGTACATATACATGTGATGAGTCTTTCTCTGTCCCACCAGCTCCCAGTATGTAGTCAGACTTTCCTTTGGGCCCCAACTCACTCCCAAATAATGGCAAAGAATCGTATTATTAATTATGAAATCTTGGCTTTAGCTTAGGCTTGTTTTTAACTAACTCTTATAAGCTAAATTAACCCATTTCTATTAATCTACGTTCTGTCACGTGCCACTCATCCTGCTTCTTCTGTGGATGCTCTCCATGTCTCCATGGTATCTCCTATGCACCGCCTCTTCCTCTCTCTCCCCAGAAATCCCGCCTGTATCTCCTGCCTAGTCATTGGCCATTCGGCTCTTTACTAAACCAGTCACAGCGTTGTATCTTCACACAAGTGTACAAATATCCCACAACATACACAGAAACATTGAACAGTAAAAGAAAGAAGAAGCCAACATTAAGAGACAGCTGAGTACCTAGCCCTAAATGGGACATGTTTCCCACCCTCTAAAGCTTAAGGAGCACTGGAGGAGGGTGGGTAGAAAGAATGTAAGTGATGGATGATGGGGACATGTGTTGTGAAACCTGACCTTTAGGACCTGACATGGCTGCAGTCATGAACTCACAGCAGCTGTATTGCCTGTGCTGAGACTGGGCCTGACAACATTCATTCATGGGTTGAGGAGGGGCTGTGAGGCCCTGCTTGCCCCTCCCCAGGAACTGCTGGCTGTTGAGGGCTGCTAGAGAAGTAGTTACCCACACTCCAGCGGCTAGTTCCATATCCGGGCCCTTGTGGGTGACCCTGGTTAAACTAGGTGTGTCAAAGAACAAAAACAAAGACATAAAAGCAGTAAGGGGATTGTTTGGAGGGTGAGTGGGAGGGGTGGAAAAGGATAGAAGACAATAAGGGATGAGAAGGATCAGAATGCATTATATACATACATGACATAGTCAAAGAGTAGACTTGATCTAAAAAAGAATAAAAGGAAGTCGAGGTCTATAAAGATCCACCCCCAGGTGCACCATGGGCAAAAATGAAGTATACATCTCTCTCAATGAGATGCTTTTGGGGAGGGGGTCAGTATTTCCCACCCTTAATAGCAACAACTGCATTGGAAATGATCAGATTTACTAAGTGAGATACCAATAGTGTGTGGACCAAAGAGAGTCTCCTCAGAGCCTAGAGACAGAGTGGTGGGTTGGTAGGGGTTGGAAGGCTTAGCAGAAAAAGATCTGCCAGTGAACCTGCATGTGTCCCTCACCATTCACGCTCCACTGCCAGGTGAGGCTGGTGCCCCACATGAATACTCTCTGCTGAATCAGATGGAGCCGCTGCCTCCCATCTGCAGCTACTCCATCTTATCTCGTGGGGAGGAGAGAAACAGCGGGGTGAAAGGAAGATGGGAGAAGACAGAGTTAGGACTCAGGGGTTTAGATGGGGTCAGAAAGCTATGGGCCCACAAACTGTAGTTGAATTAGAAATAAGTGCACCAACGGACTGTTACACTCCGGAATTAATAGTTAATCTGGATGCATTACGTATTTTATTTCTGAGGTTATATTTTAATTACATTTCTCTCTTCCTCCTTTTCCCTCCTCAAAACCCTTCCAGATACCCCCTTGCTCTCCTTCAAATCCATGGCCACTTCTGTCATTAATTATTATAGCATGCATGTATGTATATGTATATTATATGCATATATTGCTAAATATAATCTGCTCAGTTGGTAGAGTGTTATTTGTATGTGTGTTTTCAGTGCTGACCATTTGGCGCTGGACAACCAATTGATGTGCTTATCCCTGGGAAGACCACCTCTCCCATTCCCAGCTTTCCTCAGTTGCCTACAAGATGAAATTTGGGATTTTCATATGGCTATTTTAAAATCAGCTACCATATAATAAGTATATTAAATGCAGTTATTTGATCCCCCCCAAAAGTGATTACATTTTAAATATATGTACTTTTTACTGACTACATACTTTTCAATCATTTAGAACATATACGGATGAATCGGCATCACAATACCTTTTTGGAGCTATGAGTGATAGGTGAGTAAACTGAATTAAAAACATACACCCATATGTACTCTTATATATACACATATGTAAATATGTATATGTGTATGTTCCTACATAGATCTACAAACTTCCATCAGCGTGCATGCATGTGCGCACATGCGCGCATGCACACACACACACACACACCCCTGAAAATACACACAAATCCCATAAAAACTATGCGAAGAGGTTGAGATTTGACAAAACTACCTCAAGAATATCTTTGACATCAGAATGCCTTTTAAACTGTATCTAAATAATCTCTTTGTAGGACTTGTAGTTGACTGCATTTATTTTAAACGAAATTGAGGAAAATAGGATCCTTCCTTCAGCCAATTTGGCACGTTAAGTATCGACCAATCCCTTAGGAAGTGTTCAGAGTTCCTATAAGATACTAGACTAGTGTGAGCCAGGAAAGGAGAGAATCTGATCAGGAGAAAAGAGAAAGAATGAGTATAGAGGGAGGTGTGGGGCTTTTAGCAGAAGAGAAGAGATACAGGATCTGGAGACCAGAAGCATCCTCACCCTCCAGCTGCCGCCACATGGACCAGTGCTCCAGACCTCCCCCATCGTTCTGCAGGGAGCCACTCTGTCAGAACACAGGGACTTGACCACGTCCCATACAAGAAAGACAGCATGATTGATGGAAGTAATGATATGATAAAGGCTCTTGAGAATCATAAATTGAGACAAGAAGGGGGTTTCCTTATAATCTGCAGCTAATATCCGAGAGAAGTACAACTAAGAAAGGCTATTACATTTTAAGAGTAAAGTAATAGCTGCTTCTCTTTGGACTCTTTTCCATTTCTACAGATTTGAGGCATTCAGCACTGGCATATAAAGCCTCATATTAAAAAAAATAAATCCCATGTTTAAATTCATGACATATGAATATTTCAATATTGGTAATTAGGTTATAGAACAATTGTTATTATATAAAATGTAATTGTAAATTTATATGTAAAATTTTTTTAATGTAAAATAAAGCTTAGACTTACAATTCATGTATGATCATGTATTTTCGTTTTCCTTTAGCCTAGGTTCAGATACTTTGCTATCCATGACATTTGATGGAATTACCAATTTCATAACGAGTTATAAATTATAAATGAAGACATATAAATGTATTAATGTGTTCACACTTCTGCAATATGCTTGGACACACAAACCCAAGCATAAAACTGGTAGAGGGAGGAGGTTGGAACTGGGGCGCTGCACTCCACGGAGCATCTGTGGCAGAACAGAGAGTCTTTGAACTGTTTCTAAACGTTCTTCCTGGTGTATTTGTAGGAAGCAGTCTTTTGAATTTGGTTCAGGTTGAATAAAAGAGAATCGCTCACAGGAGGGTGATTCTCCCCGTCAGTGTATTGTCCTTCTGTGTTTGTGGCAGTCAAATGCGTAGGACACTCAGACCTTTTATGTATGGTACAGTGGGTGAAGGCTAGAGAGATTCTAACTGGAGGCAGGAAGAAGGAACGATAGGAAGGAGCTGAGGGGCCTTTGGCCAAGAACACAGCTAGTAGTCCTGGAAGACTCCATCAGCCTTCAGAACTCTGCCACTGTGCTGAAGGAGGGACCCCAAACACAAACCTACCTCATCATTGCTCAGAGCCCCCAGCACAGGCCTGTACTGGAACTTACACAGGGTAGAGAAAGCCTCTTTGGGGGTAATAATAGTAAGGAGATCATTGGATAAGGAAGAAGGGATTTGTACCTAGAAACTGAATTTGCAGTTGCAGTTGAAAAAACAAACAAAAAAACCCCCTGAAAACAGAAAGCTGATACTTGGCTAAACACCAGACAAAAATCTTTTTTTTTTTTTTTGGAGAAGGGTCTCTCTGTGTAGCTTTGCGCCTTTCCTGGAACTCACTTGGCAGTCCAGGCTGGCCTCGAACTCACAGAGATCCACCTGCCTCTGCCTCCCGAGTGCTGGGATTAAAGGCGTGAGCCACCACCGCCCGGCACCAGACAAAAATCTTACTGAGCTTTTTACCAGGCAAGGTAGGTCTATTTCAAATACATAAATTCATTTTGGTGGAAGTGAATCACAAGTTTCAGAATAACTGATTGTGTTAGGAGAGGTAATTTGTGAAATCTAGGAAGTCACATGATATTCACCACGTGTCTCTCTAAATCTTATAGCACCTCCGTGGATGAGTTAGTACCTGCTGAGAAGCTGTCAATAAGATGTGAGACCTCAGTGTGCCAAAGACACGCAGACAGACATATAAACCTAAATTTATTCCTCACAAATCCACTGAGAAGGGCAGACTTGGTCACTAAGTTCTTCCTCTCACCTCTTAAATTGGTTGCAAATCTGAGCAACCACCCACTAAACCCTAAGGAACTTTTCAGTATGCTTGTGTATGACAGTCGGCTGGGTTAGATGAAAAGGAAAGAAGTCGAGGAGGAGCGGCAGAAGAAGGGGTCATGACACGGAAGAGCCTTCAGCCAAAATGACGAGAGGCAAGGAACCTCAGATATGCCGCCCACCCAGAGCACTGCCATTACGGAAGACTGGCACCCTAAACCCCGCCCATCACCACACGGGATGGAGCCCCTCCCACAGGTCCACAGCTGCTTCATTCTCACCTCGTATTTTCACAAGAAGTGAAACCAAAGACGACTTGAAATTGGTCGGAAGAACAAGTGTCTTTAAGCTGTAGCTGAGTTTGAAATAAATCCCATCCAAAAAACCTGTTATGTGCTGGAATTAAGATACTAGTTACTTAAATTACTATAGGTGAATTACTATTTACACAATCCCAGGAGATTCATTGCTACTATCTATAGATAGCCTCTTTTCTAATATAAAAATGCCAAATTGAATTAGTGATGTACACAAATATTTAAAACTCAATCAATTCACGTCCCAGAACTCATAGAATTAATGTAGTTATTTGATTCCAGAAGTTATTTCTATTCAGACCTGACTACACTTTTGAATACTCTAGGTCACACATGAATGAATTGTGAGAATCAAGTTACAAGTTAATTTAAGACAGCACACACACACCTATATGTAAACACTTACATAAGGACACGAGCTTCCATAAATATGTACACACATGATACATAAAAAGCATAGAACTAGGAAAAGAAGGGAAGGTTCCGTTTTGCAAAATCCATTCTGCATATTCTTCTGGACAGTACAGAGTATATTTGGCACTGTATCTAAGTCTGCATCTGTGGGTAACTTTCTGTCTTTTTGACCAAGTTGGTTGAAAGGAGTCTAGAGTATGGTCAGGACACTTCTTCAGGTCTAGATAAGAGGGAGGCTCAGGGCTCAACCAATTTAGATGTTATTAGAGGGGATCATCGCTAACGTGAATTTAAAAGGGTCTGTGAATTTATATAGTTTTCATTATAGTTTACTTTCAACTCACATAATGAAGTGAAAAGATTTATCTATGATGCAATCACCAAGGAAAAGTCTGTGTTGTAAGCTAATAAAGAAAATACACATGCAGCAAACATATATTCACAGAAACATAAAAAACAAGTGAGAGATTGATATTTTGAGTGGAGCAAGAGAGAAGAAAACTCTCTTTACAACAGAAAGAGGTTAGCAGTGATAAGGAACAACCTAGCTCTCAGTGTGAAAAAATGGAGCTAATGAAAGTTTAAGGTGTCCGTTTCTCTCCAGATCTCTGCCCCCAGTCAAAGATAGTCCTCTAAACCTCAGACCATCATTGCATGGGGTGGGAACACTGCCTTAGGTCTGTAGCTACCTGATCATATCTCATGGTCAGATAAGCAAATTGCACCACTAATAGTAGCTAATATTATGTCAGGTTTAACAGAAAAAAAATGAAACTATTTTGATCTTGAATTGTATTTTTGTATTTTTACTAATTATAATCATGTAAAGCATAATTTCTAAGGAAAGTATCATATTATATTCCAAATAGTTAGCTCTAAGATATCTCATCTTGCCTTACTATGTCTGTTTTTAACCTTTAGCACATCCCTGTACGAACCGAATTCCTCAAATGAATTCATGAAAGAAAGGTAAGATATAAATGAATAAGTAGATATATATGTGTGTGTATATGTGAGAGTTTATATGTGTGTGTGTGTGTGTGTATATACACGTGCTTGCATACACACATACACAGATTGGTATCTGTGTTATTCACAGTCAGGAGCATCCATATTATTACAAGTTCCCTTTTAAACTATTTCTAATGTTTTCTCATAAATGCTCTTTGTCTTTTGAATCATGTAGAAAAAGATAACAAGTCAGAGAGAGGGGCTTGTCTGGTGCTTGTCACCTTTAGTCACTATGTAAAAAGTGCTGGTCACAAATAGAAGGGATCCTCTTTACAGCCAGGAGGGGGCAGCAGTGGGCTGGGAGCAGAGGCCCCCCCCACAGCCTATTAGAACAGGCTAAAAGATCCTGGATCTTACCCTGTCTCCAGAGCTCAGTGGTTCTAACTCTCCAAGTGTGTCGTTTCCTTGGATGGAAGCTTTGCCTCAGAATGGGCTCAGCATGTGCAAGGCCTTATATCTCATCCCCAGCACTGCAAAAATAATTAAACATATATTCTATAAATCAAAGCGGCGGGGTTGGTGTTTACATTTCTCCTTTGGTAGCGTGCAGAGTACCTTCCTGCACCAAAGAGGCTAGCATGCGGGGGGTAAAGGCTCTGTGGAGGCACTAGCTTGACTTCTCCGTGTTCAATGATTTGTGTAGGGGTTGTCTTCAGCAATGGGGTCCCACTGGCAGTTTGCGGTTTATAGGAAGCGTATATGGAAGTTTTCAAGTAACAGTGCCATGTGGGTAAACGTTAGCTGCTTCAGAGCGTTCAGAATAATGCAAGAGAATTTGAGCCAGAAAGTTACGTCTTGGGAACCACATGGCATCTGACTGGATGTGTTTTTTTTAAATCTTCTAGCCTTTCGCAGAATGAGTCTGAGTCACTACATGGTAAAGGATCTACCAGTGAACTGTGAGATATACACTAATATGTTAATAAAATGCTTTAGCAATGAGTAATGGAAAATATACGGATATAAACATGTGCTGTTTGTATTTTCATGTGTACACAGCAACAAATGCCCCCTTACACATATACACACAGAAGCAGAGAAAGACATAAGATTTGGAGGCTCATAGAAGTGGTTCCTCTAGCATATACATGGACCTTTCTATCATTTGGGACCAATTTGGATAAAAGAGGTACATCTCGTCAAGCAATGCTTTTTACACCCCACGGTGTATTTAACACTCTAAGTAACCACCAGCTGAAACAATTAGGAAAACTTCCAGCTTTCTGTGTGTTAGATTTTATTACCCTGAGTAAGAAAGACGAGATCCTGTTTGAAGTGACGGGATAGCAGGGAACAGGAAGCAGAGGAGCCCTTGGAGGGAGAGAACAGAAACAATAAACTCTCGATGTGTTCGTCACCCTCAGACCTCAGCCCCTAGATGAAGCAGGTTCCTCCAAACCAAACACATCATACATTGAGGAACTTAAACTCATACCTATGAGACGCTTTCTGGTGCAGGAAAGACATCTGAGGGAGGTAAGAAGGTAAAAGAGGCACTTAGGAAACAAGGTATCAGATGTGACAAGCTGAATCAGCTTTTACACACTGAACCGGATTTTAAGTAAATTCTACCATAATTTTCACACATTAGTTCAGCTTCGGTAACGTTACTTTCTTTCCCCTTTCTGTTTCCTTTGCTTTTTTTTTTTTTTTTTTTTTTTTTTTTTTTTTTTTGAGATGTTATGTCGCCCAGGCTGAATTTGAACTTGTGATGCTCTTGCTCTAGCTTCTCAAAAACTGGAATTGTAGCAGTATGCCACAACATCCAACTTCTTCCCTCTTTAAACAAGATTGAAGTATTTATTAAACTGTGAAACATCATTTAAGGGCATATGATATCTTAGACTTACATGTGAAGTTTTGTTTGGTCTCCTGGCTAGGGCCTTTGCACGTATTAGGCTGGCGCATTTCCCACTGCCCTCTAGCACCAGCCCTATATGTGAAAAAATCTGAAGGTTCAAAAAGTGAACAGATTGAATGACAGTTATAATCATCGGGTTGTAATTAACTTGAACTCATTTGAGGTTCTTTTATCCTTTAGCACACTCTCGAGTGAACTGAAGACCGTATGCTCCACTGTGTCCACCAGTGCGCTGTAAGATATAAATAAATTAATACCTCTTTCTCTGCACTTCTCTCTGTGTGTACCAGTCCTTCCCGTGTAACACACAGAGTTTGAGATTGGGGTGTGTACTGTCAGGACCATGCAAGGGAACACAGCTCTTTGTGTACTCTCATGTTCTGTCAGGGTGAGCTTCTGTATACAGCATTCTTTGTGCCTTAAATTGTGGCACAAAGAAGAAGACTATACCAAAGCGGGAACTCTCTGATTCAGAGTCTTCACTCTTAGTTACTAGCAGCCAAAACCCGCAGAAAAATATTAGAATGCCTGTGTGTGACAGAAGAGTAGAGTAGACCAAGAGCAGAGAAATATCCATTTAGGCGTAAAAAGGAGGTAACGTTGAGCAGGGAGCAGAGGCATTCTCAAACAATGAAAAAGAAGCTACGAAACCAGAGCTGTATCCTTCATTCTTCTGAGCTCTTCCCACATGAGGCTGGTGCCACAAGCCACAGCTACCATCATTTTGAAAGGCTCTTCTGCCTCAGGTTTGCTGTTACTACCATACCTGAGGGACAGAAACAACTACAATTTGTGAACTACTCATCAATGGTGGATGCACGACTCATAAAAGAAGGTATCCAAAAGACAGATGGGTACCTAAGGACTAAAGTAGGTTCCTGATCGGTACAACATTTGCAAAATGACAATGACATTCTTTGCAAAATTAAAAAGGTGAGCCTGAAATAAGTATGGAAGCACAAAAGATCCTAAAGGGCTTCAGCACAAAGAGCAGAGCTAGAGGAGTTCTATAGTACCTGGTTCCAAGACATAGGACAAAGCCACAGTAATGCAGCATAATGTTGGCATAACATGGCACATAGACCAGTGGAACAGAGTAAAAAACCAGTACCAATCCACAAGTCTATAGCTAGCGGATTCTCAACAAAGGTGCCAGAGACAACTTTGGAATAAGAACAGCCTCTCCAACAAATCGTTCTTGGAAAACTGGACACCCACATGCAGAAGATTGAGATTAGATCCCTATCTCTCACCCCTCACCTCACAAAAATCAACTCAAAATGTAGCAAGGACTTTAATCAAGGCCAGAAACTCAAAAACTATCAGGGTGAAACATTATAAGATATTGGTACAGGTTATGATTATCTGTATAAGACCCCCAAAGCACAAGAAACAAACATGAAATTTGACAAAGATTACCTAAAAATGATAAGCTTCTAGAATGGGCAAGATTGCCAGCAGGTAAAGGCACAATTACCAAACCTAAGCCCCACATGGTTATAGAAGAGAACTCCTTCAGGCAAGTTGCTTTCTGATCTCCACTCAGGCTGTGGCATGTACACACACACACACACACACACACACACACACACACACACACACACACACATTTTAAGTCTTAAAGCTTCTCCCAAATAATGAAAAAAAAAACAGAGTGAAGACACAGTGTACATTCACCTGACAGACGTCAATACTGAAAATATATAAAAGATCCAAGAAATAACACCAGTAACATCAGTTTAAAAATGGCAAAAAATCTGAAGAGATCCCTTGAAGAGATCAGAGGAAACAAAGTCAACATATAATGAAGATATTTGCATATCCATGTGTGTTGCTGCTCTATTCTCAATAGCCAAGATATCCATTGACCCTAGGTGTCTACCAAGGGATGAGTGAGTGAAGAAATATGGACAGAGTGGAATATTGTTCAGCCCCAAAGAGTGAAATCTTGCATTTCCAGTAAAGTGAAAGGAACTAGATGACATTGTGTTGAGGAAAGTGGAGTAGATACAGAAAGACAAGTGTCGCATAATTTTTTATCTATCTAATGAAAGCAAGAGTGGATTTGAAAGCAGAATATAGTGTTTATAAGGGACTGATAAGGTTACTGGGCAATGGGTGAATGGAGGTTGGATGGACATGCTAGAAGCACTCTGTAACTCTGTACAGAATATCAGTAATGCATGTTAGTAAAAATGGACCTCAAAATTGAACCCTAAAGTGAATCCAACTATGAAATACTGTTTTACATCGGGGTTAGTTTCCATTTGAAAGAACACTGCTAAACCTTCGTCATTTTTGATATATTAAATGTTAATCTTTTCCATTAAATTATTAAGAGTTAACAAGTTTATGAATGTCAAACAGTAATTATAGCTAATTTGAACAAAAAATCAATTTTAGAAAATCATGTGGTATCTGACTATATGTTTTTTAAAACTATTTTAGCATTGCCTCATCTGATGCAACGTCAGAAATCAATGAAGAAAACATTGACAAATAGTAAGATCTAAAAATATGTATTTATGTATATTATATATCTGTGTGTATGTAAATATCTATTTATACATATTTCAATTTATTGGGATACACATAAGAGAAAGACACTGAGACTTGTGGAGTTCGTTAGGAGCATCAGGGCCAATATAGATTGTGATGTTATTTTTTAATGTCTTCTTGCCATAGTAAGTCCTTTTCTGTCTTAGTTGAATGTAAGGGGAAATACTTAGAAGAGTGCTTTGAACTCCTAATCTGTTGGCCACCACTAGAATGAGAGAGAGAGAGAGAGAGAAAAGTCCTATTTGGAGCAAGAAGGGAGGTGACAGGTAAGTGGGAAGAAAGTGGAACCCTCAGCAGAAAAGAACCAAATTAATAGACCTTAAAGCTGTCTGTCTGTCCCTCATCTTCCAGAGCGCTGGCTCTACATGATGCTGGTGCCCCAAACCCAGAGCCATTTCACAGCGCAGTCCTTCTCTCAGACCTTTAGTTATTTTAATACTATCCAAGGGCAAGAAAACGGCCCGTGGTGTATGAAAAGCGCAGAGCGGTGGGAGAATTTGCAAATCATGAAATTAGAAAGAGCAACATTTTTGACTAACCTACACTTTCAAGCTGGATTTTGAAATAAATGTAACCTCCAAAATGGTAGTATAGATGGGTTTAGATGTAGTAATGAAAAATTGCACTTTAATCCTGATTCATTAGGCTGTTTTACAAGGCTACAAGTCATCTTTATAGTATACAAGGATTAATTTAGGTAAAATTATGTATCAGTTTCCAGACAACCAATAGGCATATAAGTTCTAAGTGTTTAATATCTTTATAAACTATAGGGCAATTGTGCATATTTCAACCCAAAATAGGTCTTTGAATTCACTCAGCTCTTACATGAGTATTTTAAATCTCTAGTACTGACTTGAATGCAATGACATCAGCAGTCTTTAACTGCTTTGCTAAAAGATTGATATATTTCATGTTGCAATGATGGCGTCTTTAAAGACTGCTGAAATATATTTGTCTTTGGGCAGAGAGAAAGTGAGACACAGACCAAGAGAGAAGAGAGAAATTCGTAAAATTAAGTCTTGGAATTGTCCATGGACAAACAGTTATCTGAACAATGATTCTAAAAATTTTCAAAAACTCTACAGATTCAAGGGATTCTAGCTCAAATAACTTCTTCATATTACTGTTAAATGTAGCAATCTCTAATGATGTATCTTTGCATTTGTTGGTGCTAAAGCAAATTAGACCAGGTCTCCAAGTTCTGTGATGATGATGAAGGTATTGATATTCACAATTCATATTGGTAAGTGAGTTTGACATTTGAAGGAAGGGGAAGAATGGATCACTTGTCTGTGGCAAAAATAATAATAGAGGAATGTGGAAAACGATACAATAATAACCAATTGAATTTATAAACAAACCAATTGAATTTATAGACAAGTACAATGCTTGGGAAAACATTTTTGTCTACTTACAAACAATTTTCCTAGTTTAAATATTGACAATGTTGTTCCTTGGTGGTGACTTTATTACAACATTTGTTTAAAGAGAATTGTAGCATTCTATTTATTCTTTAACATTGGTCTTTTCTAATTTTTCCTGGGTATCTTCTGATTCCCGGTTTATAGATTGTTGTCCGTGAGAAATGGCAGTGAAAAGGAACAAATTTTGGTATTAGAGGACCTCTTCACACTCACTGAGATTTTATAAATTTTTTATTTATTTCTGAATAATATTATTTGGGATACTTCCTATTGCACAAATCTAATAGCATTTATATGTGTTCTCTATAACAACACAATGTGTTCTGAAATCACTTGTATCTGAATTATAGACATATTGAGGATTCTGTCCAACTGGATAATCATTTATTGGCTTCCATCAGTGTTGCAGATGATATAAGTACCACCAGAAATGATATTAGTTGGTCTCTGTTGTAATTGTTGGTGTTCAAATGTTACAGGGAAAACAAAGGTCTAACTAATGAATACAAATAAGTCTTCCAAGTACCTAGACTTTTCACTTTAAATAACTTCTAAAAAATCATGGACCATCATTCCAAAGAGGTCACACAATCACATTATTAAACTCTGCATGTTAGGTAAACATTTTCTATGATGGACTTGTCAGGGCTGTGGTAAAATTCAGGCAAACGGAGCATTGCCAGCATTTCCTTTTTTTAAATTTTATTTTACAATATAATTTAATTTTACATATCAGCCTTGGATTCCCTTGTTCTCCCCACTCCTGGCCCTGGCCCTTTCCCCCCAGCCTATCTCTTCCAGGGCAAAGACTCCCCTGAGGATTGAGATCAACCTGGTAGACTCAGTCCAGGCAGGTCCAGTCCCCTCCTCCCAGGCTGAGCCAAGCGTCCCTGCATAAGCCCCAAGTTTCAAACAGCCAACTCATGCACTGAGCACAGGACCCGGTCCCACTGCCTGGATGCCTCCCAAACAGATCAAGCCAATCAACTGTCTCACCCATTCGGAGGGCCTGATCCAGTGGGGACCCCTCAGCTATTGGTTCATAGTTCATGTGTTTCCATTCGTTTGGCTATTTGTCCCTGTGCTTTATCCAACCTTGGTCTCAACAATTCTCGCTCATATAAACCTTCCTCTTTCTCGCCAATTGGACTCCTGGAGCTCCACCCGGGGCCTAGCCGTGGATCTCTGCATCCAGTCCCCTCATTCATTGGATGGGGTTTCTAGCACGACAATTAGGGTGTTTGGCCATCCCATCACCAGAGTAGGTCAGTTCGGTCTGTCTCTCGACCATTGCCAGCAGTCTATTGTGGGGGCATCTTTGTGGATTTCTGTGGGCCTCTCTAGCACTTTGCTTCTTCCTATTCTCATGTGGTCTTCATGGACCCTAAGAAAGACACGGGGATCGCCCAGTGACGGAGAAATGGATGAGATCTACATGAACAGTCTGGATATGAGTGGGGGTAATGAAGGGCGAGGGTCGAGGGAAAGAGAGCTTGAGGGAGCGGGAGATCCCAGCTGGATCAACAACAGAGAGGGAGAACAAGGAATGTTCATGGTAAATGAAGACCACATGAGAACTTTTTTTTTACTCCACTCCAAGAAAGTGAGCTTAGTTGAAGTATAAAAGCTTCATATTGGCCGGGTGGCCATGGCGCATGCCTTTAATCCCAGCACTCGGGAGGCAAAGCCAGGTGAATCTCTGTGAGTTCGAGGCCAGCCTGGTCTACAAAGCAAGATCCAAGACAGGAACCAAAACTACACAAAGAAACCCTGTCTGGAAAAACAGGCAAACAAACAAACAAGCTTCCTATCACCTGCATCCTGCTGTTCTCCCCTCAATTCCTCCTCCACCTATGGTTCCTTTACATTTCCTAATTTCTGTGTTTACTCCTTGTTGTATACCCACCTCTGAAGGTTTGGAGCTAGGAACTGCAGGGGAGAGAGAACATGTAGCATTTGTCTTTCTGAGTCTGGGTTCCTTCTTTCTAGTTCCATCTGTCTACCTACAAAGCTCCTGATTGCATTTTTCTTTACAGATAAATAGTATTCTATTGTGTAAATGTATCCCATTTTCATTATGCACTCATCTGCTAAAGGACATTTAGGTTGTTTCCATTTTCTAGCTATTGTGAATAAAACAACAATGAACATGGTTTAACAAGTGTCTTTGGAGTAGGATGGTGAGTCCTTTGGGCGTATGCCCAGGAGTGGTATAGCTGGGTCATAGAATAGCTTTTTAGAGATATTTTTGAGGATTTTCCATACTGATTTCCAGGATGACTGCACAAGTTTGCATTCCTCCCAACAGTGGAGGAGGGTCTTCTTTCTCTACACCCTCCTTAGCATTTGTTATCAGCCGTGTTGTGATTATAGCTCTTCTGAATGCAGGGAGATGACACCTTCAAGTCGTTTGATTTCGCATTTCCCTGTTTGCTAAGGATGATAAACACTCTTTGAGTATTTTAAGCCATTTTTATTTCCTTTATTGAGAATTCTGTTCAGATTCCTAGCCTATTCTTTTTAATTATATAATTTATTTTTAATTGGATCATTTATTTTTCCTGGACTTCTTATTTTTTAAGTTCTTTGTATCTTCTAAATATGGATTATCAGATGTATACCTGGCAAAAATTGTCTCACATTCTGTAGGTTTTCTCTTCACTCAAATGATTATTTCCTTAGCTGCACAGGAGGGTTTTCTTTTTACAAGGTGTACCACTCATCAGTTCTGGCCTTAATTCCTTAGCGAACGGAGTTCTGGATCTTGTAGGAAAAGCCCATGTTTTCTTCTAGCAGTTTTAGTGTTTTCAGGTTTCAAATTGAGGTCTTTGATCCACTTGCATCTAATTTTGGGTAATAGATTCAGGTCTAATTTAAGTCTTCTGCATGTGAATGTCCAAGTTTCCCAGCGCCATTGGTTGAAAATGTGGTTTTTACTCCTGTGTGTGTTTTTGCCTCTTTGTCAGGTATGAAAAAGCTGTAATTACAATACTTGACCCTTTGATTTTGTTCCACTAATATACATGTTTCTTTTTGTGATGTGCCATATTGGTTTTATTATTGCTTTATTACAATATATCTTGAGGTCTGAAATGTCAATCCCTCCAATATTTTTTTGTTTTGTTTTGTTTTGTTTTTTGTTGTTGTTTTTGCTCAGGACTGCTTTGGCTGTTCAGGTTCTTTTCTGGTTCCATATAATCTTTTCTATTTCTGTGAAGAATGAGATGGGGATTTTGATTGAGACTGAATTAAATCTGTAAATTGTTTTTGGTAGGATCAGTGCTATGAATCCATGAACATGGGATCTCTTTCCATTTTCTGGTGTCTTTCAAAATCACTTTCTTCAGAGATTTGAAAATGTAGAGGTCTTTCACCTCCTTGGTTAGGTTTATTCCAAGATATTTTATTGTCTTCGATACTGTTGTAAATCAGGGTGTGGCCATGATCTCTGTCTCTGTATGTGCCAAGTTGTGATGTACAGAAAAGCTATTGCTGGGCTGGGCAGTGGCGGCACACGCCTTTAATCCCAGCACTTGGGAGGCAGAACCAGGCGAATCTTTGTGAGTTCAAGGCAGGCCTGGTCTACAGAGCGAGATCCAGGACAGGCACCAAACTACACAGAGAAACCCTGTCTCGAAAAACCAAAAAAAGAAAAAAAGAAGAAAGAAAGAAAGAAAAAGAAAAAAGAAAAGCTATTGCTTTTTATGAGCTGACTGTGGACCATCCACTTTGCCGAAACTGTCCATTATTTCTAGCAGTTTTCTGGTAGAATTTTGGGATCTCTGTACAATATCATATCATCTGCAAATAAGGAGAAGTTGACTTCTTATTTGTAGAGCTGTAATTTCCTTTTCCTGCCTTATTGTTGTGGCTAGCACTTCCAGCACTGTATTGTGGGGATAACTGCAGCCCTGTGTCATCCTGATTTTAGTGAAATTGCTTTGGGTTCTTCTTCATTTAGGACAATGTAGCTGTGGATTTGTCATATATATATATATATATATATATATATATATATATATATATATATATATATCCTTTATTATGTTGGGGAGTGACACCTCCAGTTCTGCTTCTCTAGGGCTTTTATTATAAAGCATGTTGGATTTTCCCAAAGGCTGTTTTTACATCTCCTGAAATAATCATGTGATTTTTCTCAAGTTATCTGTATGATGTACTATCTTTATTGACTTATGTATGTTGAAACAACACTGAATTTCCAGGATTAAGCCAACGTTATCCTGGAGAATGATTTTGTAAATATGTGTTTCTAGTCAGTGTGCTAGTACTTTACTGAGGATTTTTGTATCTATGTTTATAAGGAATATCTACCTGTAGATTTGTTGTATCTTTACCTGGCATGGGTATTAGAAAAATATTGGCTTTACAGAAACAGTTTGAGAGTGCTCCTTTAGTTTATATCTTTAAAAAGAAATCCATAATTTTGTTGCTAGGACACTGAGGTATCTCTAAGCTTGATGACTTGCCCAAGATCCTAATTTGCTAATTGAAGAACTGACATTGGAACACTTTTGTAAAAACCACCCTTTTCCATCTCCATACCATAATGCTTTCTTTGGTTGGTCCCAAGCTTAATTGCCCCTTCAATTTGGAGTTAGAGCTTTACATGCAAAGATATGTTACTAAGTATCCAAAGCATGGTGTAGTCACATATATTCTAGATAAGAACACAAAAAAGCAAAAGCATAAACATTTCAGTTACTAACACAGAACATTTTGGTGTATGTCTTATGAGGACTTTTCTTTAAAATTCATACTTATAAGGGGATTTTTTTTGGCTAAACTCACATGTGATTGACTTAATTTTACTAACTTTCACAGCACCACGATCACAAAAATGGTGCATTACCTGGTGTCATCAGTCACCTTCAGGTATGTGAGGGTCTTGAAGTGGAAGTAATTAAATGTTTATGACATTTAATTTTTAAAGTTTAATGAGAAAGGACCCAAAAAAGGCAAGAGAGAACAAAATGAAAGAACGTCCATTCTCACTATGTTGCAAATTAGCTCATGTATCCACACTTGATGTGATCTAATCTGCCTTAGAGGTTTAGTTAAGACTGAACAGTAAGATGTACAAAGAAATAACCTTGGCTCAAATCTAAATAGTGGCATATTTAGATTTGGGTATTTTTCTACCCATAAATGTGAAAATAAGAAAGCATACATTTTCAAATTCTGTAATTACAGACTAAATGTTCTAGTAAATGCTTTATACACCCCAAATTACTCATTCCAGAAATATTTTACTATTTAATTAGATTTCTTTTCTACATGATTATTAAAATTTATACAATGTAATTGCTTCCTTTAAAATCATTATTGTATGTGTATGGTGTTGTACCTATTTGTGCAGGTGTGTGTGTGTGTGTGTGTGTGTGTGTGTGTGTGTGTGTGTCCACAACTCAACGTTGGATATCTTCTTCAATGTTTTGTTATCTTGTTGTTTTTTAAAATAGGATCTCTCATTGTACATGGTGCTCACTTAGGCCAGGCTGACTGGCCGGTGAGTTCCTGGGATTCTTATGTATCTACCTCCCTGGGGCTGGGATTACAGGTGCTGCACTGTCCTGTCCCCTGCCATTGTGTATGTACTGGGGATGAAACTTGAGTCTTCACGATTGAGTGGCAGGTGTTTTACTCCTGAACTATCTTGCTAACTCCCAAGTTAATAATATGTTTTAAAAACTTTTTTTTTTTTTTTTGGTTTTTTGAGACAGGGTTTCTCTGTGTAGTTTTTGGTACCTGTCCTGGATCTCGCTCTGTAGACCAGGCTGACCTCAAACTCACAGAGATCCTCCTGGCTCTGCCTCCCCATTGCTGGGATTAAAGGATTAAACCACCACCTGGCAAGTTAGTAATATATATATTCCCCCCTCCCCTGGAGCTGAGAACCAAACCCAGGGCCTTGGTTCTCTACCACTGAGCTAAATCCCCAACCCCAGTAATATTTTAATTGAATCAGTAGTTGTTTAAAAACACACTTTACAGTTGAGTTGATTCATCTTTGTAGTTTAGGAAAATAATCAACTTATAAGGAGTTTTTTGAGACTGCGCAAGAAAAGGCTTAGGCACTCTTTAAGAGTTCAATTAATATTTAATTAATAAATATCCAAGCAATATTTATGGAATTGAGTTCTTTTTCATGTATCTGTCCTGTGTGCAGGATCCATGTGTGAACCTATGAATATATAATCATATATTTACTGGTTAAAGTGTTTTTAAAAGGAATATGTTATTCATGCTTCCACTTCTTTTTGTTGCTAAAGTCTTAAACTTATTTGGATTAATGTGACTTCATTTATTGTGAGAAATTTGTTAAAAAAAAAACCACCTTATGAATTCTGAGTATTTAAAGTGTTCACACTAAGAAGCTTGTGACTTTTATTTAGATTTGTGGTTCTAGGTTGGCGTGCTAAAGTGGCATCCCTGCTGTAGGAAGTGTGGAGGGACTTGGTGCAGATCTGATCTACTAACCTCCGCTTTTATTGGGTGAAAAGCTGAACATTTTCTTAGGATTCTGAAGCAGGATTGTTCTTTCTGCCACAGGATGGTTTAGCTCTAAATGAGGACTTTTGGGGGTATCTGAGCATTGGCTTTAATGTTGTGACTGTGGAGGTAATACCTCTGCTCTCTTTGCTTATTCATTTTAGAATATTTGGAATTCTGCTGATCTTTCTGGACATATTTCTTATGGCTATAGATCTGCATCTCTACAACAGCAATTTTTATATTCCTTTGGGATGCCGCTCACTTTCTTTAGCTATTGCTTTGTTCTTCCTCGTGGATGTTCTCCTTCGAGTGTACGTAGAAGGGTAAGTGTGATTCTGCTTTTTTTTTCTTTTTAAAGCATAACGCCATTTTTACAGTAATATGAAAAGTATCCTGTAAGAATTGTCAGATCAGCTCAACCAAATGGGTCCTTCTTCGTCAAAATGATTCTCCTTCTAGGCACGTTCCACAGAAGAGCAGTCATAGAAAACCGGTTTTATGGAGAGCAGCTTTATCAGTGCTATTATTGGGCCTTTATTCTACAACAATGTATTGTAGATGATTTTCTCAATTGCTAAAGATTAAAAGGGTGTCAAGGACGAGCCAGGCAACCATTGTGCCTATATGTACATGAATAAAAGGAACATGTATGTGATTGTCTAGAGTTTTTGTTGCTGTGCAGAGACACCATGACCATGGATGGCAACTCTTATAAAGAAAACATTTAATTGGGGAGGCTTGCTTACAGTTTCATATCATCCTGGTGGGGAGCATGGCAGCATGCAGGCAGATGTGGTGCTGGAGGGGTAGCTGAGAGTCCTACATCTTGCAGACAACAGGAAGTCAACTGAGACACTGGGCAGTATCCTGAGCATAGGAAACCTCAAAACCTGCCCCCACAGTGACACACTTCCTCTCACAAGGCCATACCCACTCCAACAAAGCCACACTTCCTAATAGTTCCACTGCCTATGAGATTAAGGCGGTCAATTACATTCAAACTAGCACATTTCACTCCCTGGCCCCCATAAGCTTATAACAATATCATAATGAAAAATTCATTTAGTCCAAGTTCAAAAGTTCCCATAGTCTATCATAGTCTCAACAATGTTCAAAAGTCCAAAGTTCAAAGTCTCTTCTGAGATTCACACAATCTCTTACCTGTAATCCCCTGTAAAATTAATATAAAAAAAACAGATCACATACTTCCAACATATAATGGCAAAGAATATACATTACCATTCCAAAATGTAAGGAAGGGAGCATAGTGAGGAAATCCTGGGCCAAAGCAAGACCAGAAACCCAGCTGGGCAAACTCCAAACTCTGCATGCCTGATGTCAAAAGGCTCTTTAGATCTCCAACTCTGTTCAGCTTTGTTGACTGCAACACACTTCTTTCTCTTGGGCTGGTTCTACTCCCTGTTAGCAGCTCTCCTTGGCAGGTATCTCACGACTCTAGCATCTCCAACATCTTGGGGTCTCCAGGGCAATCAGGCTTCAACTCTACAACTTCACAAAATGGCCTCTTTAGACCTCTATTCAGCAACACCCCTGATAACTTGGGCTGAAGCTGCCAAGGTTTGCTGCTTGCTGGGGCTGGAACATAGCTCCCTCACTCAATTACATCTTCACCATCTTTCTGTCCTTCACTGCCTAAGCTTGGCTGTCCTGAAACTGGGTCACTAGACCAGGCTGGCCTCAAATTCAGAGATCTATAAGCCTCTGCCTTTCCAGTGCTAGGATTAAAGGTGTGCCCCACCACACCTGGCTCTAAGCTTTTATTTAGCTCCTTTTCACAAATTGGAAACTTAGCTAGGTGGGAGCTCACCCTAAAGTCACCACTCCCTTTATTCAATTTCTTAATCCATTTATCTCCTTTAACACAAGACTTAGCTCCATTCCACTTTCTTTCTTTTTTTTTTAAGATTTATTTATTATGTATACAATATGCCTGTATGCAAGAAGAGGGCACCAGATCTCATTATTGATGGTTGTGAGCCACCATGTGGTTGCTGGGAATTCAACTGAGGTCCTCTGGAAGAACAGCCAGTGCTCTTAACCTCTGAGCCATCTCTCCAGTCCCCATTCCACTTTCTGGTGCTCTTTTTCTCCTCAAAATTTACAGTTTGTAATTTACCCTGCTCAGCTCACTTCTTTTCATTATAAGTCTTCATTAGAGTGGCCACTAATATCCACATGACAGAGTCTATATTAGGCTGTTTTGAGATTTCTTCTGCCAGTGGAATTAATCCCAAACTCTTTACTTTAGCCTCAGGCAAAATCTTCAGACCAGAGCAAAAGGCAGCCACCTTCTTCACCAAAGTGTCACAAGACCAGTCTCTGTGCCACAGACTGGCATTCTTCTCCTCTGAAGCCTCTTGATCCCCACAGTTCATCAAGTCACATTCAACACCACTGTCTCCCATGCTTCTACTAGTATGGCCTATTAAGCAGTGCTTAAAGCATTTCACTGCTATCCTAACCAAAACTCCTGAAGTCCCTATTACTCCAAACAAAATCAGGCCCATCACAACAATGCCCCAGTCCCTGGTACCAACTTCTGTTTTAGGGTTTTTATTGATGTGAAGAGACACTCTGACCCCAGCAACTCTTATAAAGAAAACATTTCATTGGGGTGGCTCCCTTACAGTTTCAGAGGTTCAGTCCATTATCATTATAGTGGGGAGCATGACAGCATGCAGGCAGATGTAGAACTGGCTACATCTTGGCTTGCTGGCAACAGGAAGTCAACTGAAACACTGGGCAGTATCCTGAGCATAGGAACCCTCAAAGCCCACCCCCACAGTGGCACACTTCCTCCAACAAGGCCATACCCACTCCAACAAGGCCCTACCTCCCAATGGTGCCACTCCCTATGAGATTATATGGGCCAAGTACATTCAAACTACCATAGTGATGTGCAAATGTTAACACTGATTGACTTGAATTCCAAATTAGATTTGATAACACACTAAAGAATACACCACAAATAATTCATATTTCAACAAAAATAAATAACATTAATTATAGTGACGTGCAGAAGAGTTTAGAGGCAGGTTCTTTCCATCAACAAAATCACAGTAGACAGACCTTGATCTTTGCCTTCTGGTTTTCTAAGCAGGTGGGTGGGTGAGCCATGCCTTGAGGTTGGATTGCTCTGGGAGTCAGAGACTAAGTTCTCCAACTTCATTTTATTCTCAGAGCATCAGAGTGTAATTTCTCTCCTTTCCTAAGAGATTTCTTTATCCTCTTGCCCCGTTTTGAGCTAAGGACAGTTGTCCACTGCCCAGTTTCTCAGTCTAAAAAGGGTTCTCTCAACCTTTTCTTCAGTGGTGTAGCCATTGGTAAGGTGCCTATGCGTCTATAAATAATCCCTCACCAATAATCCTCTAAGGGACCCTAATGGAACTCAGACCACAAAACAGGCACATAAACTAGAGTCATCTGAAAGGATGGAACTTCAATTAAGAAAATGCCTCCATGAGATCCAGCTGTAGGGCATTTTCTTAATTAGTGATCAGTGAGGGAGGGCCCAGGCCACTGTGTGCAGTGCCATACCCGGGCTGGTGGTCCTGGGTTCTGTAAGAGAGCAGGCTGAGCAAGCCATGAGGAGCAAGCTGGTAAGTAAGCAGCTCCCCTCCATGGTCTCTGCATCAGTTCCTGCCTCCAGGTTCCTGCCCTGCTTGAGTTCTTGTCCTGACTGACTTTGGTGATGAATATCAGAGTGGAAGTGTAAACCTAATAAACCCTTTCCTCTCCAACTTACTTTTTGGTCATGGTATTTCCTTGCAGCAATAGAAACCCTGACTAAGACAATTGGAAAACATCAATCTAAAAATAGATGTTATCTCAAAATCAGAAGAAACTTTCTCTAGAAGACCAGTGATCATGTCTGAAGAAAGGAAGTCTGTTTTTGCCCTAGGCAGACCATATTAAGTCTCTTCTTTTTATAGTTTCACAATCCCAGTTTCTCTAAATTCCATATTCAGCTTCATTTGCTCCCCTGCAGTGCACAGTATCCTCCTTCCTTACCTACAAAGGAGAAGGCAGTGCTTGCCTCTTGCCAATGGTTTGCTTCTGTCTCTTATCAATTGTGACTTTCTATCTTGATGCTTTAGATAGATGATAGATAGATAGATAGATAGATAGATAGATAGACAGACAGATAGATGACAGATAGATTGATCAGTAGATATTTAGACAGATGATAAATACATAGGTGATAGATCAATAGATAGATAGATAGATAGATAAATGCATGCATAAATATAAATTTACCACATGAAAACTTTATATTGATGTTGTATTTTTCCCTTAGTCTAGTAGTCTTGACAATGCATTTTAAACACATTAAGACAGGATTCTTTTTATTTCAGTGAACTAGTGAGTTTATTGAGGTCACTTAAAAAAGCATGAACAGCTTGGGTACCTCTACCCTATCAAAAGCTACACAGCCAGGTCTCAACTCCAGCCGACCTTAATACCCCACAAAATATATGTGCTTGGGACAGAATTATATGCAGGTGACAGGGTGGGGCCCAGGAGCCAGTAAGCAGTTAGAATCTCAGGTGAGTGTAGGATAACCCACCTGCTTCTTCCTGAGACTACCAATAGGGCTGAAGATAGAATTCTTCATGAAGATGAGTTGGATAACTTGTGCTCTGAAACTGTCCCATCTCCCTGCTCCAGGAAACAGAATTATTTTTCTGATTTACTGAACACCCTAGACGCCGTCGTTATTGGTGTGACCCTGCTCATTGCGCTCACTTACATACTTTATGACAAGAAGTTTCTTAGAGATATCCCAAGGTATGAAACATGACTTACCTCTCAAAACTCCTCTTTTGTTTCTCTTGTTCTTCTGGGTTGTTTCCTTTGTTTTGTTGTGTTTTCTCTGGTTTTATTTAACATTTTAACTCAACTCTCTTGACTGTGCCAGATGAGTGGTTTAAAAGCAAAATGTTTATATAAATTCCCATGTACTTTGAAACTAAAATATGTTGGCATTTAGGGGCCCATTGAGGATATACATACTAAGAATCTTTCGCTGAATAAGAGAACGTACAGCCGGGCAGTGGTGGCGCATGCCTTTAATCCCAGCACTCGGGAGGCAGAGTCAAGCGGATCTCTGTGAGTTCGAGGCCAGCCTGGTCTACAAAGCGAGATCCAGGAAAGGCGCAAAGCTACACAGAGAAACCCTGTCTCGAAAAACCAAAAAAAAAAAAAAAAAAGAGAGAGAGAGAGAACGTACAAAGGGGAGAAGAAACTGGACTTAACTCCTCTTATATCAACTCGAACTTTAGAACGTTATGAAATTATCCCAAAATTCCCATTTGTGCTTCAATCACAAATGCCTTAGATATAAAGTTCTGTAGTCCTGGGACTTCCCCATAACCAAGAGAGTGTTAAGCATGTATATAATTTGAGTGACTCAAAAAAAAAAAAAAAGGCTGGGCGGTGGTGGCACACGCCTTTAATCCCAGCACTCGGGAGGCAGAGGCAAGTGGATCTCTGTGAGTTCGAGGCCAGCCTGGTCTACAGAGGGAGTTCCAGGAAAGGCGCAAAGCTACACAGAGAAACCCTGTCTCGAAAAACCAAAAAAAAAAAATAATAATTTGAATGACTCTAATTAATATCTCTAAAACGTAATAAACATAGCAAGAAACCAGTAGGTAATGTGGGCAGCCACAGAGAGGAAGTTTTGCAGTATAGTTGCAGAAATGAGAAGACTCTGGCAAAGTCAGAAATCTTAGGGTCTATTAGAAGAGTTCTCTCTTCACCCTTCCCTCTCCCCCCACTTCCCCCCTCCTTTTTCCTTTTCTCCCCCACTTTACCCTCCTTTTTACTGTGGCAATGGAGAAAAGAAAGATATGTGGGTCTGAAGATTAGGGGGATAGTATTATTCATTTGTCAAATAACTGGTTTCTTTCTGTACCCCAACTTCCCAGGACTTCAATCTAGGATTCAACTAAATGTGTTGTGTGTTTGAAACAACCTGAGCAACCTCTCAATTGCTACCTTATAGCCACTGAATTAGGGGCTCTGGGGCCTGTTACCCCATGCTTTATCTTTAAAATGACTTACTATTTTTATTTTATGTGTGTGGGTGTTTTGCCTGCATGTGAGTATATGTATGCACCGTATGTGAGCTGTGCCTGCAGAAACCAGAGCGGGACATTGAATCTTCTGGAACTGGAGTTGCAGGTGGTTGTGAGCTGTCATGTGGGTGCTGGGAACCAGACCCAGGTCCTCTGCAAGAGCAACAAGTGCTCTTAACCGACGAACCACCCCCTCTGCTTTAAAGAACTTTAAAGAGCTCTTTCAGATGGCTTCTTCATATGGCTTCAAATTAAAGACCCAGAGTCTGAGAACAGTAGTTCTCTACCTTGGTGTTTTTGATGATAGGAGAAACACCAGCAAGCATACTTGGTTAATATTTCGGTCTATTTTCTGATGTGTCTCCACCAGTGGTAGTAGCGATTCCCTGTTCATTGATATATATAATACCAGCAATGTTTTGATGAACACACACACACACACACACACACACACACACACACACACACACACACACACGGAAAGAAAAGAACAGAAAAACTCTGATGTTAAACCACAAATTCTGAGTCTGTCTTCCCCAAACTTAGCATCATTGACATTTTAGGCCAGATCATTCTGGGAAATGATGTCATTCATGGTGAAGGGTTTATCAGGACTCCTAGCCTGTATCCACTTGATAGAGTAGCAACACACCCACATAATAGTATGACAACCAAACGTGTCTCTAGACATTGACAATTATCTTCTACATAGGGGTAAAACAACACTGTCCTGGCCAAGAACCACTGTTCCAAACTGAGTACAGAAGTAGAAGCATCACTCAATGTAGAGCAACTTGCCAAGCCCTCACAGGATCTGGGACTGGACCCACAGCACCACCCAAAATAAACAAATAAATAATTATAAAACTGTTCAACTTAATCCATAGTAACCAAATATTCTGTTTTTTTCTAGCAAAAAAAAAATATGAGTATTTAACTTTTTATCTATACATTTTCTTAGATTGGCGGTTTTATTTCGACCTCTGCGACTTCTTATTCTGATAAGAATTTTGCAGCTGGCTCACCAAAAAAGGCACCTTGAAAAGCTGACTAGGCAGCTGGTGAGTGGCAGCACGCATTTGTTTTCTGTTTCGGGGAACGCTTTTGAGGTTGTAGATCTTTATATTGTGTTCTTTTTCCTGCTGATTCATGTTTTCTGACGTTATGACTTTCCAATCTAGGTTTCCAAAAACAAAAGACGGTTCAAGAAGGATGGGTTTGACCTGGACCTCACTTACGTTACTGGTTCGTGAAGCTTACCTGATGCTGCTGTTCAGAAAGATTTCGCATTTTTTTTTTCAGACAGGGTTTCTCTGTGTATCTTTGCGCCTTTCCTGGATCTCGCTCTGTAGACCAGGCTGGCCTCGAACTCACAAAGATCCGCCTGCCTCTGCCTCCCAAGTGCTGGGATTAAAGGCGTGCGCCACCACTGCCCAGCCCAAGATTTTGCATTTTGTGTGTGAGTGAGAGATGCTACGCTCTCTTTTATTTCTGCCATGGTATTTCAAAGCATTCTTTATGTAGTAGTGCGCATGTCATCATGGCAGTGTGACCCTGGCAATGGACGTATCTACTTATGCCCCTTCAAACCAGAACTACTTTGTTGTAGTACAGGCGGTGGGGTAGATTTTTGGCTGAAATATTTTTAGCTGGAGTTTCATTTATTCAGCTCTCATAGCTAACTGTTATCTCAAGGATCCCTAGAGACTTTTCAAGCTTCTTTCAACTCCACCAACTGAGGTTTCTACTCCGTTGGTCTCAGATTTCCTGACTCATGTGTTCTGGAAAGCACTCTGGCAGTTTCTGTGTTTACTGGAATTAAGGATGCTTTCTTTGGTTTATTAAAGAAAAGACATTTTACCGACACTGAGGGAGCGTGGACTTAGGCCAACAAAAATCTGAGGCCCATAGATGGATGAACCAATTGAGTCTTAAGATCACTGTTTCATTTTAATGATTATTATTGTACTGGGTAATTTAATGTATTATATCATTTTGATTACTCTGAGAATGTGTTATTTTTTTCTATCCTGAATGTTATTTTTTGTAAAAAAAAAAGTTTTGTTATATGTAGATGAAGTTTTTGCATGTTGTATCATCTCTATTACAATATTCATCATAGCTATCCCTTTGGCTTCCAGATCGTATTATTGCCATGTCTTTTCCATCATCTGGAGGACAGTCCTTCTACAGAAATCCAATTGAGGTAAGGAAGGCTATTCCTGTAGCAAGTGCTCACTGCTCAGTGTGTTTTCTGGGATCAAAATTGTCCACCCACACAAGTTATCTCCATTCAAACTCCTCTCAAAATGCGTATCCATATATTGTGTTCCTAAATTATAGTGAGTAACATGGCTTTGGACATCCTTGGATGACTAAATCAATGTCAAATATGCAATGTTATCACCTTAGTGTTTCTATTGCTGGGATAAAACACCGTGAACTTGAAGAGAAAAGGATTGATCCACCATCCAGGTGAGTCAGGGCAGGAACTCAAGGCAGGAACCTGGAGGCAGGAACTGATGCAGAGACCGTGAAGGAGTACTGCTTACTGACTTGCTCTCCAAGGCTTTCTCAGCTTGCCTTTTTAAATACCCCAGAACCACCTGTACAGATATGGCATCCCCCACAATAGGCTGAGCCCTCCTACGTCAATCACTAAGTAAGAAAATGCAACACATGCTTACCCACAGGCCGGTCTGGTTGGGGCATTTTCTTAGTGAGATTTCTTCTTCCCAAATGAATCTAATCTAGCTTGTGTCAAGCTGACATAAAACTAGCCAGTACAGCTATCTTCTCTTCTCTGAAATTCCAACTGAAAGTTATCGCTTAAAAAGTTACCTTATATATGTGTATATTAGTGTAGCCTGTAGTATCTGATTCACCTCAATAAAAGTTTATAAACACACATATATGCATATATACATATATACACAAATGCATACATATATATGTATATTATTGAGGTATGTATATTATATATGTGTGTGTGTGTGTGTGTGTGTGTGTGTGTGTGTGTGTATCTCAAAGTGCAGTCATGTATTACTTGATGGAATATGTTTCACTGGGTTATTTTGCTATTATGTGAGCCTTATAGAGTGTTCTTGAACTAAGACAGCTATAAGATCATTGGGTATGTCATGGTTGCATAAGCTGACATCATTGATTAAAATGCCACTTTCCCCAAACAGACAGTTCTTTTGAGAGGACATATGACCAACAAGTATATGGAACATGGTCAGCATACTAATTATCAGGGAACTGCAAGTAAAAGCCACAATTAAATACTACCACATTCCATTTAGGAGTGACTGTTACTAAAAAGACAAACAAAACAAAACCAGGAATACCAACAAAGATGTAAAAGGAATGCTCGTGAATTGTTGGCAGGAATCTAAACTTTTACAGCTGTTATGGAAATCACTATGAAAGTGCCTAAGAAATGCAAAATAGAATTGCAGTGAGTTCAAGTAATCTCGATACTAGGTATTTATACTAAAGGAATAAATTCAGTGTGTCAGAGGCTGTCTGTGCGCTGCAACGTTATTCTTACCCAACAGAGGAAGTGATTGTTCTATAAACAAAAGAATGAATCAAGAAAACAACACAACTGGATACTGTTCAGCCATAAAAAAAAATGAAATCCTGTCTTTCAAATTATACAACTAGAACTGGGAATCTCATGTTAAATGAGTAAGTCGGGCCCTGAAAGACAAACATGGAATATAGAAAAGTTGCTCTCACAGACGTTGAGAGGATCATGGTGTTTGCCAGAGACTGAGGAGAGTAAGCAGGAAAGGGATGATAAGCAAAGGTTGACCAATGGATAGATACTATGTTAAAGGTGAGCAAAAGATGCTCCACTGTGCTATTGCATAGAAGGGTATGTGTACTGTGTACTTCAAAACATTCAGAAAAGATTTTGAATGTTTTTACTGAAGAAATGATAAATGTTTGATGAGACAGATGTCCTTGGCCTAATTTAAATATTACACTATGAATCAAACTAATGGTATTCCTTTAATATGTCTAACTTTTATATTTTAAATTATCAGTATAAATTAAATTTGACCGGTTAAAAATGTCATTGGGGTCTGATGATGTAAAGGAAACAGCATTTTCCAGACACACAGGGAAGACGTATGTATGGACCCAGAGACTGTGACAGCATGTACAAGATCAGCACAGGCTCAAGCCAGACAAAACCCTTGCAAATGAAGGGAGGTGGGCACAGGGTCCCAACACTGGCCAAGAAGCAATGTGCAAATGATAGCTCCTGGGAAAGGGAGAAGTCAGTTTTCTTCAAGTGACACTGGATATATTAACCGACTGGAAATTATCAAGGTATTAAGAATCACTTAACTTATTTTTGTCAGTATTCTAACATACTAGATGTAATCATTATTATTTTTTTTTTTTTTTGTTTTTTCGAGACAGGGTTTCTCTGTGTAGCTTTGCGCCTTTCCTGGAACTCACTTGGTAGTCCAGGCTGGCCTCGAACTCACAGAGATCCGCCTGGCTCTGCCTCCCGAGTGCTGGGATTAAAGGCGTGCGCCACCACCGCCCGGCCATTATTTTTAATTATGTCACCACTATTTCTTCAATTTCACATAAGTGGAATCACAGTGTACATCTTTTGTGACTAGATTTTTATCCTCAAAATAAATTATTCAGATTCACCCAATATTGTTATGTATAATGGTAATTCTTTTATTTATTTTTTTTGAGGCAGGGTTTCTTTGTATAGCTTTGGCTGTCCTAGAACTACCTCTGTAGACCAGGATGACCTAGAACTCACAGAAATCTGCCTGCCTCTGTCTCCCAAGTGCTAAGATTAAAAACATGTGCCACCACTGCCCAGCCATATAGTGGTAATTCTTTAAAAAAAAAAATAACATCAGTATTTATCACTGTATAGAAAATACCACTTACACAAAGAAATCATAAACTTATATACCACTTCACAAAGTCAGTGAATACACTATACTGTCCAAAATCCATATTAGGAGAATTTCAAAAGTATAAATATCAGTAAGTATAGCTAAAGAAAGACATACAAACTGGACACTCAGATTTGTTTTTTCACAAACTCATAAAGTCATTTTTTGTTGAGATCTCATTATTTAACTACTTATTAAAAGATATAAAAAGACAGCCATTGCAGTGTATTGAGCTCCATAGAGACAGCGCCCGGGCAAGTGAGAGCCAGATGGGCACTGGGCGACTCTATGCTTCGCAGAGGAAAATCAGTTAAACATGGGCAAAGGAGATCCTAAGAAGCGAGAGGCAAAATGTCCTCACATGCGTTCTTTGTGCAAACCTAGAGAGGAGCGCAAGAAGCACCTGGATGCTTCTGTCAGCTTCTCAGAGTTCTCGAAGAAGTGCTCAGAGAAGGGGGAGACCATGCCTGCTAAAGGAAAGGAGAAATTTGAAGACATGGCAAAGGCTGACAAGGCTCTTTATGAGAGAGAAATGAAAACCTACATCCCCCACAAGGGGAGACCAAAAAAAAAAAAAAAGTTCAAAGACCCCAGTGCACCCAAGAGGCTCCTCCTTCAACCTTCTTTTTCTGTTCTGAGTACTGCCCAAAATCAAAGGAGAACACCCTGGCTTGTCCATCGTTGATGCCGCAAAGAAGCTGGGAGAGATGTGGAACAACACCACTGTGGACGACAGGCAGCCCTGTGAAGAGAAGCCTGCTGAGCTGAAGGAAAATACGAAAAGGCTATCGCTGCCCACAGAACTGAAGGAAAACCTGGGGAGACGAAGAAGGGGGTGGTCAAGATGAAAAGAGCAAGAAAAGGAAGAGGAAGATGAGGAGGAGGATGAAGAGGAAGACAAAGATGAAAAAGAGGATGATGATGAATAAGTTGATTCTAGCGCAGTTTTTTCCTTGTCTATGAAGCATTTAAACCCCCTGTATACAACTCACTCCTTTTAAAGAAAAAAATGAAATATAAGGTTGTGTACAATTTGTTTTTAAACTGTATAGTGTCTCTTTTTATATAGTTAACACACTAACGAATGTGTCTTCAGATAGCCCTGACCTGGTGGTATCTTCAATAGCCACTAACCTTGCCTGGTCCAGTCTGGGTTTGTAAATTGGTATGGAAATTTAAAGCAGGTTCTTGTTGGTACACAGCACAAATTAGTTATATATGGGGACGGTAGGTGTTTTGTTTTGTTTTTTATTTTTTGTTTTCGTCTTCAGTTGTCTCTGCTGCAGCTTATACAAAGATAATTGATGTTCTGTTAACTGAATACCACTCCATAATTGCAGTTGTTTTGTTGACATTCTGAATGCTTCTAAGTAAATACATTTTTATTAAAAAATATATAAAAAACTCTCCAAAAAATAACATTCACACAGCAAATAAAATACAATTCCTGTCAATAGAAATAAGAAAATCTTTCTTTAAAGGTTTTCTGACAAGACATTTGGTAAAATGAGCCAGAATGAGACATCTTCATTTTAATCATAGATAAGTTCCTATCTGTGAGGTTTTCATCGTTCCTAGGGGAAATTCTAGCCACATTAGCATGTCTATTCTTGTCCTTGTTCAGCTCATGCTTAGGCAGTCATGTTAGTGAGACTTTCTATGTACAGCTTCCAACCTTCCTAGGAGGCACAGTCTCCCAGCAAACTCCCTGATCCTCTAGCTCTTACAATTTTTCCATCCCCTTTTCTTCAACGAGCCTTGATCCTTAGGTACAGGAGTTGCAATGTAGATGTTATCAGTTGGGACTGAGCACCGCCATTCAGCATTTTGGTTCATTGTGTTTTTCTGTAATGGTCTCCATACGTTGCCAAAAGAAATTTCCTTGATGAGAGGTGAGGACGACACCTATCTCTGGGTAGAATGACAAATATTTGGAATGTAGTTAGGGATTAGGCTGGTTTAATAAAGCGGCATTATAGGTTCCCCTCCAAGATTCACGGCTTCACTAGCCCTGACTAGCTGGCTAGGTTTCCTTCCTGAGAGGTTCTTACATCTAATTAGAGAGCTGTTGGTTATCACCAAGTTACAGGAACCACTGCTGTTAGGCTGTCATGCCGTGGTGGTCACTGTTGGGGCTCCTATATGTCATAGCTGGGTAGGACTGTTGGGTGTTTTTCTCCTTTGGAAGCTTGTGAACCACATTCTGGTGTCACGAACACTAGTCGTCAAGGAGGAGGCTTTTAGGCCACTATATCATATGAATTTA